ACAAACGAATATCAAGGTAGTAAAACGTCATAATATTCATTATAATCAATATTATTATTATAATTTTACTACCTCTGTGGTCGAGTAACTTACACACCGGTTTTCATGGTATCGCCGTCCTTTGAGGTCCCGGGTTCGATCCCCAACTGGGTCAATATAGAAACTAAATTTTCTATATTGTCTCGGGTTTGGGTGTTTGTGGTACCGTCGTTGTTCCCGATTTCCATAACACAAGTGCTTTACTTACTTACTTTGGGGCCAAAGCAACGTATGTAATGTTGTCTAATATTTATTTATTTATTGATATTGTCCTTTTTAATACTAGTGTTGCATCGGTAAAGCGTGTTATTAGTAAATTGCCTATATTATTTATTTATTACTTTATTTCCACATCAATTGTACTTCTAATATCTGTACTTCTAATATATAATCTACGCGTCCACCGCTCTCCGTAGAGGCCATGACTCGGGACTATGCTCGGCTAGCTGCTCTAACAAATCTTAGTACAGCACGTGTATATGGTTATGCAAGGACAGCAACAACCACCGCATCCGCCGCAGCATCCACGACAGCATCCACCACAGCCTCCACACATTTTATATGCGTTTGAAAGAGTACAAAATCCAAAAAGAAATTAGTGGAAATAAAAATTCACTTTTTAAAATAGTATTTTAAGTACGTATTTGGTTTTTTTATAATCTTTTTAAAGTATATCACGCAAAGGATTTTATTGTATTTTATTTTATTGATTATATTACATACCTAGTTATAATTTAATGCTCAATAATCAACTTAATATATGCCTATAGGTGAGAACCTATAGTTGGTTGTCCATTAATATTTAAGTTTTTACTCTGTATGATAGCCGTTAGGCTTCCAATAAGTTAAAAAAAAAAATTGTGTATTATCGTTAAACCTTCTGTAAAACATCGTTTGTGAACCGCCAACCGGTACTATCTAAATTTTGACAACTTTATAGGATGAAGAAAAAAATGTTTGCGTCATTTGTACAGAGTTGTTTATAAAATAAAAATACATAGTGTACATACATACCTGTGTGATAAAAATATTTAAAAACTACGTATTTGTAAACCAGATGCTGTATAAAAAACGCAAACAATTGTTTTGTTCACACGTAAAGTTGTCAAAATTGAGATAGTACCGATTGCCAGTTCACAGACGATATTGAATTCGGAAAGGTGTTTTTTCTTCACCGTTTAACAGAGTTGATTTGTAAACAAAATTGGAAAATATTCAGTAGTGCCGGTACCCCGCTGAGCATCTTAACGTAAGGAACTCCAAACCACAATAACCCAAATAAAAGTGACCAATAACGGTTACCTAACAAAGATCTCGTGACCATCGCTAATCGTGACCAGGCTGCGCTGTTTCTTTAACAATCGGGGCTTAATTCAATTACAGCTGTTAAACCATCGATTTCGGAAACTGGATCATCTTTATTGACAAACAATACCTTGTAATACCGCACGCTAGAACTTTTCGCCTTTCGTAATATTGCTGATTCTATTTATACAGGGTTTTTTTAAAAATAACTGTAAAGGAAGCTGCAGTATATTAGCCACGTAATAAGGGGCAATGGATACCGGGTTCTTCAACTAATAATGCAGGGGAAAATCCAAGTGAAGCAGAAGGAAAACCTTGTGGTTGAAGAATGTGAGATACTGATTCCAACTTAGCACACGTTACCTCTGTCGTGCGGCAGCTTTTTTTAATAGCAGTAGAGCTTCTTGCGAAAGAGTTCATCTAGGAAAGTACTGCCACCTTACCTATGTTTGCCGCCAAGCAGTAATGTGAGCATTACTGTGTTCCGGTTTTGGAGGGTAAGGGTGCTGGTGAAATTATAGGCACAGAACAAAAAATGCCGTAGAAGTGATTAGTTAGCCTTACACGCGTGCCAACTATAAGTCTCTTAGGACCTATGGTATAAAATCGTAGAAAAATGCCTTATTGCTGTTTTGGAGTACAAACGTGATAGTCGCAAGAAAAATATTACACGTGATGGTATTTCATATCATCGGCAAGTCTTACTTTAATAAATTTTCAATTTTCTGTTTATCGAAATAGTTTTTTTGTTACAATAAACGAAAGTAAAGCTTGTAACCCTGCAATATGGTCACGTATTTTTGAAGAACTAAATAAATAACTCCAATTCATCGTGGTTCGGCAATTAACCGCTAGACAGCAGGACATTGATTGAAATTTCAATTTAATATCAAAACGTCGTAACTTGCAATAATAGGTAAAGTTTAATTTATATTAACAATACAGAATTTGTTATTTCTTTTTAAATTTGAAACTACGACCAATGAATATCAAGATTTTGTTTTCAAATTAAGAATCTGTGAGTTTTGGCGACATCGGTTCTGATAGTAATCGAGGCTTATGGCACTTCCATTGTTTTTTGTCTTCCGTGGGCACATATGGCTTGTCAACTTATGTCTCATGGTGACGGGTGCAATGGCAGTGTCCCTAAGATCTTTGCAATTTATAGCTTTGAGTGAAAAAACTTCAAAAATGAGAGTAGTCATGATCATCGCAGAAGTCGTGGAAGAATATTTTTTAAATATTAACAACTTTGCAGGATTATACTATACTAATATCATAAACAACAACTTTGTTCCACGACTTTTTTTACAAAACTTAATAATTGTACCAAAAACATACTTTTAAATTTGTGTCAGTCTATCTGACACTTGGTCGTCGTCGTCGTCAGATCTGTATTTGGTAGTACTTAACTTAGTAGGTAAGTTCAAACGCGCAAGCATCCTGTCCGACGAGTCCCACACTCATCCTGCGTCTTGCGCAGAGTTATCACCGTTTAGATCAGGCTTTCTTAGCCTTCTAATCTAGCCTTCTCAAAATTTCAAAGAACTCACGGACCCTTCCCGAAAAGATGAAGAAGAAGAAAGGCTCGCGGGATGCAATGACGCGCGTCTCCCTCGCTCGTCTCTCGTGTGCGAAATATCAAAAAGCTCACGCGCACAGGACCTATTTAACCACATATTGTATACCAATTTTTATATAATGCACTTCATGAGTTATTAAAAGTCATGGGACAAAGTTGTTATTTATAATGCTAGAAATATAGTCCTGCCCGGTTGTTAGTATTTTAAAAGTCACCCTGTATATTGAAATTTAGACTGAGCATCCACAATTTGCGTGAGTTTTCCTTGAAATGTGCTTTTTGGGTGAAATATTGGAGTTTGTAGGAGCCTCGTAGTTTTCTTTCTACCACCCAGTGCCGCCCATACCACGCGAATGGCAGGTACATTGACAAGTTTCAACAATTTCGTCGCTGAAAATATCTCCTAACACTTGACGAGCATTCCCGGAATAAAGGTACTCATGTATACAAGACAGGTAGTTAATACATGAATTTTTGTTGGTTCTGCTTCGAATAATTTTTCCCAGTCGAGAGTATCCCCACGGTTTATTAACAGATATGTAAACGAGGTGCCAATGCCATCTTCTTGTTCCCTGATGGACAACGATGAGTTTATAAGGTCCTCCATAAGATACTGATATTTTATCTTCGTCACTATCTCCATAGGTACCGAGTCTAGGTATGCTTTTCACGTTTTCATTGTCATCTTCAGGTCTCCCTCCAATTTCTGTTCCTTTGGAGTAATTTCTAAGTCTTATATGTCGCCATTTGACTCGCATACCGCTGTCTCCTCTGGTCCAGGACTTAGTGGTTAGTTGGTCTTGCCTGAAGTTGGTCCAGTTGGTCTAAATTTCTCTTGTTTTGCTCCCTATTAGACATTACTTCGGGGTCGATTATGTGATCTTGTCTTGCACGTCTCATTCTTGTAGTATTCATTCACTGGATAGGTGCCTAGCTTTTTACTTCTTCAATGTCTTCGTATGTTATAATGTGATAAAAATATAAATGTTTCTGTTGTGACATTACTTGAAGACGAGTCGAGTTCGAATAACTCCTGTCCGCTTCTGCTCTCTTTATCCACTCACGCGATACATGCAGCCGTAGACGCATACCACACCTAGAGGTGCCGGTGATGATTTTATACTGATTTATCGGATATCGAAGTTATAACAGGTAAAAGAACTAATATTAATTGCTATTTCGGTAACTACTCTAGCAAACCATAAAGTTTTTATTGCCTGGGTCTGTCATTTAAAAAAAATAAACCACTTCAAAAATAGGTCACGACAATTGTGTGTGTTATTGTTTGAGCTGGTGATTTCCGTGTTTATTTATTGAAAGCTTACCGTAAGTAGCGTTTTTTAAGTTTACCCAGAATATAAATGTTTATAAACTATACTTTAAGGAGTAATTTTATGGTAAACGTTAGAACCACTCAAACGGAATATTATCATATTTATCCAAGTACACCAAAAATTTCATTAGTGCTTTTTAAGTGCAGGAATTGCGGTGAATTACTGCATTTTATTTGAGATGTTTTTGTTGGTAATACGGAGGGTTTATTTAGCAATGCAGAATAATAATTTTTATTTATAAAAACTTGTATTTAAACTGAATGCTTTTCTAAATTGTGAAACCAAATAGCCGCCATTTTGCGGTAGGAGGAGCGCATCGCGTGAGCGGCTAAATACCCCTGCGAAAACCTTGTTTTTTTACTTATGTGTCTGTTTCCTTTACATGTAAATTTTAAAATAAATTAATTATAAATGTTTTAATTTATTTTTAATTTAAATAAAATATTTAATGTTAAGTTTACAATCTTTGGCTTTGATATTAAGACTTAAAATCCTTACAGTGTATGACTAATACAAAGATCAAACAAATACCAGCAAAAATTACTTTCTACAAACAAAAGCTGATTCAAGTTCAGCGGAATCGAAGGAATTTTTCTTTGTGTTTGTTCGATATTTTTGTATCGATAATAATAACAAACTAGTTCAGTGTTTTCAAGAAAAATATGAATATCATGGTATTAAACATCATGATATCCAATAAAATAAATATCTTTAGAGTGTACTTAAATGCATCGCGTGTCTCAAGACTCGCTTAATCCATTAGATAATACGCTAGAGTCAATAAAGTCCTTTTGAACAACGGGCATAACAGCTCCATATGGTCCAAACTCATTAGCGACATCTATTGGCACTCGCTGATTTTTCTCGAGTCGAGATCGTCCTCGTCGCGGTAGCGCAGACCGCAATCTTTCCCAAAACCACGGATCGCTCGTCTCTAAATACGTGTTGGTCCGGAGATAGTTCCTCAGCTCAGGGTCCAATTGCTCCTCCTTCACAACATCATCCAACACCACAACGATCAACCTCGCCCGACCCTCATGCAGCATACTCGCATGTGCCATGCGGAACTCCAACATCCCCCACAAGGACTTCACAAACTTTCTGGACAGAACTATTAACGTACGCCGCGATACTTCTATCGACACCGAAATTTGCTTCGGAATCCACTCACCAATAATCCAATTTCGCATATGAACGCACGCTTTATAGTTTTCCTTTTCTAACATCGGCAGTAACTTATTCAAGACATAGTCTTCATCTTCGTGGGAGAAAGAGATAAAAATGTCAAACGGACGGTTCTCGTCCAACAGCTCTTCTTTCAAACAGAATAGACACAAACCTCTAGTATATAGGAAGTTCTTAATGGCTACTCCGTATCGTAAATATACAGATATAGCTAAGATGGTCAAGACTACGACAGCGAGTAAGATTGGGAGTAAGATATTGACAAATGCTAATTGCGGCTGTTCTTCAATAACACAGAACGCAGAGGCAGTAAAATTACTTATTAAAGTTCCGTCTTCTTTGCAGACGAGTTTGTTGTAGTCATCCACCTGAAAGAAAACACGGTCGCAGATTTCAAATATTTTCATTAGCATATTAATAAAATATGAATATGTCGTAAATTATGAATATGATGCATAAATTTGGGTAAGCATCTCACATTTTTATTATTTATGACACAACACACTATTTGTTAATTGTGTGTATTTGATTGCGTACATAGAAATGTCAGTGTGTGGGTTTGTTTGGTGCGCCCGTGACGCACTCCATGGGCTCCGCGTAATACCAGGGCCGTGGCTGTTCTCAGCCACGGCATATGCTGAGTGGTGCCCATTCAGTATCTGAATTTTAGTTTTAATTTATTTTTGTTTATTTTGTAAGTACAATTTAAAATTAATGGCACTGAATAAAAGTTTCTTTCTTTTTGTCTTTCTATTACTCACAGTCGTGTAGGTTACCATCAAGCGCACGCTTTTTCGTCCCATCACTTATGTTTTCATTTACAAGTATTTTAATGAATCTAAGTATGTAGTAAGAAACTACCCTGCAGTAAAGTGGGCTTTAAATTTGTAACTGAGTGCTTTTGAAACATTTTTTATTGGCCTGGAATCTCGAGTTGTTACCAGACAGTATTATACAAATCTTGATCCGATTAGATTAAAAAAACTGCAATATATAGACACTTGTGAATTCGTTATCTATATTAAACTAATACAATGTCACAGCTTCCATAATTTAAACTACGACATTGTAGAAAATAATTACCTGCTCCTTATTGTCATTTAAGATAATAAGAAAAGCCTGGTTCTGACAGTTGCACATGAAGCTGTTACCAGCTAGCTTGATGCGTCTCCCTTTTGATGAAAACAGCGCGGTTGCTGTCATGTTGTCGATGTAAGAGATGCGATTGAAACTTAAGTCTAAGAACTGAAATCAAACAATTAGTAAGTTAATAAAAACAAGAACTCCATAGAAGTCTCACAGGACTTGATATTGCGTAGGGTGTTCCACTTATCCAAAAAATGCGTCAAAGAGTTGGATTTTGAAACTAATAGCACGGTGAGATAAATTTTGACTGCAGTATTTATGAAACATAGTAGTGTCTCGAATTTTACGTATTCTTTGAATTCGGGTGCATTAGCTTAAGATCTCACTTATATCTCATTGTAAAATTGAACCCGTGTACCTATGTTGTGTACGTGGTATTTACTAGACGAGAAGAAGACAATGTATAATTATCTTCATAAAGCGAAACTAATAAGAATATTGAATTTGAGAAACTCCTGATACGAAACAATGACTCTCTCTTTCTCTCGTGGAGACCAATGCAATGAGCCTAAACACGATAGTTCTAGAGTAAGTGGTTGAAAAGTTAGGTAGTTAATATATTATTGGAACGTCATCAGATTTCCATTGTGTACCAAATTTTAGATCAATGGAACAACTGAAAGTAAAATAAATTGGTATTCATCGTTAAACTAACTGAGAAAAGAGCTGACGATATTTAAACAACTGAACCGATGTTCATCAAACATAGCTAAGAGCCATCGTGATTAAATCAGCCTTCAAATAGAAAAAGCTGTTTGAGATCAGTCATCTGTTCGGGAGATGATGCCACAGTGGGCATACTGATAGACACAGGGAAAGTTTCAAACGTACAACTCCCATTTTCTTTGTGTCTAGGGTTTTACGAGTTTATAAGACTACCAGTGTTGATTGCGTTCTATTTGTTTCGACTCATTAGATTCTCTATTTTTACCTTTAAGATCATCAAAAACATCATTGTGTTGTGTTATTTAATAACGCACACACTCTATATTTATGAAAGATCTTTTAATAATCGATAGTAAATAACAACTATCCATTCACATTATTAGGGTTCTAACATGCAATTAATTGATTGATATATATATCAGCAAATAATTATCAATTGGAAAAAACGAATTGATAAAATACAAACCTTTAGTTTGTCGGGTATGCCGTTGGCGGTGAATTCCTTGATACGATTTCCCTGTAGATGTAATTCACGTAGACTTAATTCGCGTGGCTGATCCATAATTCTGTTCTGTGCACGAAAATAATATTGGAAATTAAAGACATACTTGTGAAATACAATAATTTGTCAGAGTAGTAGACTATAACCAAATTGATTTCATTCGTAAAGAATCATGAATAATACAAGCAGCGTGGCCAACTACAGGGCGAAATACCGAGTAAAGAGCTCACTCACCGAAGTGTTCAGCAAACCTAGGAAGTTGCTGAGATTCCTATAGGAGCTTGGGTGGTACAATAAGGACCCTGCACCCACCACACGCAAAATAGGCGCCCGGACGTTGAGTTGCGAATACAAACCCGTCACACCATACCATACCACTCCATAATATACCATTCCATACCATAAAAATAGAAGCAGCAAGGAAGTGAAGTAACAAGCCATACACGCTCTGCAGGATATGCGGTTTCGTAAGGAAGATATATTATGCTACAGTTACATAGCTGGTTGGGACTTTTTGGTACATCACCATGCTTTAGAATTTCATGTACCTAAGACTAAGAAGTTAAGAACCTAAGTGGGTCTAACGGTTTAATACGGATAGTACCTGTAGTAATTTGTTGTAATCAGCATGCTCAAACGACACCCGTTCAATGGCGTTGTGATTTAAACGAAGCTCTAGTTGGCTGCTGTTGAATCTCGGCAATCCTGTGAACTATCAGAAGGATATTGTGCAAGTAGATTAATGACAGATGAAATCCTTAAAAAGACCTAGTAAAAGGTATCTGGTACAAAAGGACCTATACGAAAGCTAAGTAAAACTCTCCACCAATCCATGACCCTATTAACAATATCACAAACCAAAATTAGCTCAAGGTCGTTTATACACTTTAAAGACGTAGTAATGATGATGCCCGTACTTATAGACATTGATATGGGTAAATAGATACGAATAAAGAAGGCTAATTAATTATTTGCTGTTTCGTATTACATGAAATTTTGTAATCCTAGCGTAGTCAACTGAGAGTAGGTGCGGCGATGTATTCATATTTAAAGCAGTCAGTGGAATACAACTTTGGAACTATCTTTAACACTGAACGAAATACGTCTGTAAAATGACGTATGCTTATCTTGTCCAAAGGGTCACCAATGTTGAGATCCAAAGGGGCATCAAAGGGGAAAAATGGTGGAAATACTCGGAACTGTAAAAGAAAGGAAGTTATAATTTTGGCCACGTAATGAGGAGACAATAGATATCGAATTCCTTGACTAATAATGCAAAGGAAGATCCAAGGAAAAGTAGTCGTGGCAGAACGGAAACCTCGCGGTTAAAGAATCTGAGAGACTGGTTTAACCTTAGCACACGTTCCGTCTTTCGTGCGATAGCAAAAAAAATGAGCAGAGCCATGGTGGTCGCCAACCTTCGTAGGAAACGGCACACTAAAATAAGAAAGTAAAATGATACTTACATCTAATGCGTTGATTTTGCAATATGACAAGTCAAGAAGTACAAGTGATACACTTTGTAAGTTTTGAAAACACATGCTAGTGGTTGCAGTATGGGTCGCCACTAGTCTTTTTAAATTAGGCATCCATAATTCCCAAGGGTCATCACTTGATGGTTGTGCTGAAATAACAACTAGATTAAAAAAAAAAACACTACATTTAAGTGAAACAGGTAGATTTAGGACCGTATATAAAGTTGGCTGCATCTCATAACAGGACGGAGGAAAGACTCAAAGGCTGGCAATTTCCTTGCATTGCATTGGCATTGATATAGAAATGAGTGCGTTTTAGAATTTTTTGGGATTCCAGTGTTGATAACAGTATACATTTTAAATTTACCTATACTAAGCCTTAAAAGTTAACCATAATCTAGTATATTTTAAGAGTCTGATACTTATGGCGCTAATGTACTTCTTCTAGTTTATGTGTGTGAAAAAGTATCATGTTACTTTATTGTGTTCAACAATAAAATCTCTTTCTATCGGTTGAATCCTGGTTAATTGCTTATTATAACCCATTATCGCCGTCCAGATTCCAGAACTACAATCTGTAGTATGGAAATTAGCAGTCCTCTCGAGTTATCGGTGCTTATTATGATAAAAGCTCACCTGTGCAGAGGTCCAACCTTGGGTTATTGGATAAAGTGGCGTTCGTGAGAAGCCGTACATGTAGCATCATCTTATTAATGTGAAAAGCGTTCCATAAATCATTGTCCGAGAAATCTATGTCTGCTACTAGCGGAAAATTTTTGTTTCTGAAATAAATTTTGTTTTTGCTAAAGCCCTTTTACCCTTGGTAATATAAGGTCTGATCATAAGTAACAATGGTTTTATCGTCATAAAAATAATACAAACTACATTGAAGGAATTATGTACGGACAATGGCACACCAGAGGATGTTAATACTTGACCAAATGAAAAGACGCGTGATGCGAATGAAGCTTCATACTGGATACTTGTCTTTTAATTTTGTCGAATATTACTTATTTGACAGTAATTGTTTCAGACGGATGTCGGACGGAGATCGAGAGTAGCCCCCCAGACTACACATTTTTGTTTGAAAATCGCCTCTAGTGCAACGGAACAAGAGAATCGGTTCTATTCCACGGTTCTAGCGGCAGGGCTTTATTTCAGAATTTATTTTTTTACAGACGAAATTAAAACAATTTGAAAAATGTATATCGTGTACTTTAAGTGTTCTATTTAATTCAGTTGATATTAAAAAAAATCATTGGTATATGTCAAGAACCTATTGAATACTACGGTTTTCTTGTAAAATTTCGAGGTAAGATTGTGTTTTTTTTTCCTATCATGAAAATTTTTAGGTATCCTGTTTTCAAACCATATAATAATCAGTGTCTATCCTCAATGGAAAAGCTCTAACACGTCTTGGGTCAACGCGTGATAGGTGATGGAGTTATGTTACAGAGTTACCATTATGGTATATTTGACAAAGTAAACCTTACATGACAATTCGTTCTATAGTGGATTTATGAATCTTGATGCTTTCCAAGTAGAATGCGTTGGTGACAGAAATTTCAATACCATGCACGTTCTTTGGCAGGTTAGTGATCTCCAATTTACGAAGACTGGTAGCGTTGGTTAACTGAAATTTTCAGAAGAATGAAGTTAGTCTACAAAATAAATAAACGTCTAAGATTTAACCGAAAACTTTTGCAAGAATAGTTTCACGATTTTCAATTGCAAGGTGAGTTCCGGTATAAAGAACTATACGAGGTCCGAGGATTAGCCATAGACCGCAAATAACAACTTTTAATCAGTTGTATCTTTCACACTGAAGGGAGCCATAGAAATTGGATCAATATAGAAAATATGAGGAAAAGATATAAAGCAGACGTGATGACTATTGAAACATGATTAAAACAAACCACTCGAAAAGCAGTGTCGATAGACGGAGCTTCTAACACCAGTTCAGTTAGATTAAGACAGGTGGAAAGCCAGCCTTCGCTCTTCTGCACGTTCAAGCTGTGTACAGCCCAGTTAATGAGAGCTAGGTACCGGAGATGGCTGCAGCCACCGAGATCGCTGTTTGATATACCACTCTCCAGGGTCATCTGTAATTATATGAAGTTTCTTATGAAAAGAAAAATGTTTCCTCAAATCTACTAATGTTACTACTTGAATTATTAGCTGCAGGTTCCCCAAGGCTATTCGTTGTAACGTTATACTAGATAAGCTAGAAAGCATTGTATATTTTTATGCAAGTTTGTTTACTTATCCGTGTTCAACAACATTTATACTTCCATTTGATAATAAAGGTCTATTGATCAATGGTTTTATGACCTTGAACTGGCAGCCAATGTCGTTGACTATTGCCTAAAATAATCTTCTAAGTATGAAACGTGTACAAGTACTGGATATTTTTAGTAGTTTATCTAATAATATTGGAAGAACTAAACAACAAACATATTCTAAAGCTTACAATTTCCAGTACAGAGTTATTTGGTAATGTTGGAAATTCGGCACCGATTAAATGAAACTCTTTTATTGTCGAAACGTAGTTGGCAACGTCGTCGGACACTCGAGGTTGTATCAGGGTGTGTTCTGAGTACCTGAAAAAGGACTTTAAGGGTTAGATTATCTGTGTATTTCCAATTTTGGGCATTAATGTTATACTTATTAATACCCGACAGAAAAACCGAGGAGTTTGAATCCCTTGAGTCTCTGTCTGCGGCGTTGTAACTCTCAAATCAATAGACTGATCTCAAAGCAGTTATTCTACTATTGTGTTTCGGCTCATTGTATTTCGACGAATAGTTGGCTTACTGATGGTGAATTTGAATTAAAGGTCTATATTAACTAAAAGAAATGTAACAGATTGCAGCAGCATCACTATCAGCAAAGGTTTCTTAAGCGTTTTCTAGTCATGGATCCCTCTCAATATTTCGAAAAACCCTCAGACCCTTTCCGAAATCATGAAGAAGAAGGAAGGCTCGCGGGCTGCATTGACACGCGTCTCCTTCGCTCATCGCTCAGGTGCGAAAATTCAAAAAGGTCACGCGTATAGTACCACAACATATTGTATCCCAATTTTTATACTAATGCATTTGTTATGGTAGGTAGGCTTGCCATGAACCTCCAGCGTTCATTACACGGACCCCTTAGGGATCCATGCACTACAGATTAAGAAACCCTGCTATAAGCGATAGTAGCATTTGAGATACCTACTGCTATATATTGGTGGAGCAGAATAGGTCGCATGTCGCTTTGCGACAACGTTCATTACCTATACATACGAACAGATAGAAAGTGGAACTCTACTGGTCTTTGTATTTCCCTAATAGTACAACCTGGATCTTTAAGGTCGGAATTCAGCTTCAGCTGTACTAAGCATGTCGTCTTGTATGGAGTGCTGCTACCGCTTATGGGATGGTTCTGCTAAATACCAACTGGCCACCTTGGAATCAATAGACAAGCGTGCCAAGAGACTTATAAGTGACTCGGAATTAGTAGAGGCGAAGCTGCAGAGCCTTGAACACCGCCGTAAAGTTGCCTGCTTATCGATGTTCTACAGGATATATCACGGTGAGTGTGCGATGGAATTGCATAATTTGATTCCGCTTTCCCCTTTCCATCATCGGGGGACTAGACGTGGGCGGGGATTCCACCCCTACGTTGCATTCCCTATCTACGGATTTATCCCCGAACGCCTAACTTGGACTGTTTCAAGGCAAAAGTGAATAGGCATTATTTAGGTGTGCATGCTACATCGTCGACCTCATCATCACTTTCCATCAGGTGAGATGGAGGTCAAATGCGCACTTACTTTTTATTAAAAAAAAGGAATGCATACGAATCTTTTTGTAATACTTGGACCATCCTCGTCCATTATCATCTTTTCTTCTGGTTAGTGTGGTATGCACTTTAAAAGGCGCACTCAAGTAGTAATTACTTGGAATTCGTGATATGAATCCAGAAAATGCACGTATAATGTAGAAAAGTTAGTTATAGAAAGGTGGTAAGATTTTTGAATTTTATGCGGGCATGACCAGCCCGATGAACGGTAGCCGGCCCTGTACTGTGTCATTCTCCATCCGACAACCGTCCGAAACAATTACTGTCAAATAAAGTAGTCGACCAAATGAAAATACGCATGATGCGAATGAAGCTTCATACTTGACATTGTCTTTTAATTATACGGAAGTCGGACGGAAAAAGAGAGTTGACCCCGTGCGCGATGGCATTCAATCGAAGGCAAGGCGCGAACAATGCACAAACACCTATGAACGATGCCACACTGGCGCTATGATTTCAACGACCGAATGCCACACGACACGGACAATGTGGTATCGCATGTGGTAACACCATTTATTTACATTATAACACTTGCATTATAACGTAGCAAATCGTTTTTTTGTTTTGAGTTTCTTCTTAGTTTATTTGTCACCTAAGTAAGTTAAAAAGTATATAAGAAGTTGAAACCTGTTCCAGTGCCGTTTGTATCCGATATTTAATGTTCATTTACATGTAATATATATACTCGTGTGCTCATCGAAATAATAAATTAATTTTAAGCAAGTCCTACAAATTTAAAATGTAATTCTTGTGAAGTATGACAATTGTCAGCAGCGGATATCCATATATGAAGATGGAACCTGAAAAGCATCATGTAGCAGCATCCTTTTCATTGGCACAAGAGTCCACATTTCCGAAACTGTTAACTGTTAAACTTTTAATTGTAAACGTGCTTATGAATAAATGTCTTATTATAATTACGCATCGCAACACCCCTCCCCGCTTCGTCTCCTGTCCCCTTGTCATTTATATGTATGCACATCAAGCGGCACCGTTGCAGGCGTCTCAACGCCAACGCAAGTAATCATATGTGTCAACGGACAAAGCACGTAAAAATTATTGTTACCTTAATTCAAGACCAATGATCTTAAGTCCATCGAAGAAAAGAGCTTGCAATGGAGGAGATATGGAAAGTTCTGACAGCGCAAATTTAGGTAAATTGTCTACGTCAACATTGAGACTCTTCAACATTCTTTCGTACGTTTCGTGTGGATAAATGCAATGTTTGAAGGTCACTTTCTGTAATAAAATCGACAAACACGGAGTTCATTGATGGAAAGGTGTTGCTGGCTAGGGGACTTAAAGATACTTCGGGCAAACAAGAGCGTAACGGCCAATTATAACAAAAATTTGTAGTTGGGTCAAATTTCGAGGTGATCTGCCTGAGCAAAGTTTTGTTATAAGTGGTCTTAGAGTTAACACCGCTTATGTGATTTCGGTGTAATTATTCAGCATCAGAATAAAAATGTGGTGTAAAATATAGTACTTAAACTGAAAGGTTTTTCTTTAAATTTAGAATTTTACAGAATTCAGATGTATATTTACAAACAACAACATCATCATCATCGTCATCTGCCGGTGTTCATAGAATTTTTGTCCTACAGAAACGTGCTGTTAGAGCCGTTCGCATTACCATATATGAGGTTTAAAACTATAGTGAAATAAAAACTTTATACAGCTTCTGCGTACTGTAGCCTGCGACGTAGCTCAGGTCGCGTAGCGAGAGGTACTTTATAAATATAAACTGGGATTATCTTCATACCTAGATATTTATTGTGTTTTTCACATATTCACTTATGGAGGCTACTTCTAGATATGCCAAGACGTTCTTCTTTTTTCTATCCTATTTTTTTAATATATTCTAAACACAAATCTATATTCATTCAGCCAGTACTTCTACTCATAGAGTAGAGCTTAGACTACAGTACTTAGATGACAAAAATCCGTGGTAGTGCCCCTCTCTATTATCTCTTGCAGACAGTCTCGATCTAAGATGTTTAAATTAAATATTGTAATGATAAATGTATTCAAATGTTTATTTACAAAGAGCAACCCCTAGAGTTTCGTGCTCATTCTTCTCAGGGGAATCTGCCTTACGACTGAGCAGTAGACTTTAATAAATATAACTATTTTAAATAAGGAAATGCAAAGCTGTTCTAAAGAGACATTATCGTGGTTTGTAGTATAATACACATAGTACATAATTAAGTGTAAACTTGTAATCTAGAATTAGTCAATTTAGTGGTCTGTAAGTTAATTTAAGTGTGGAGCCTGTTAGCTCATCGCTGGGTGGTTACAAAAAAGAGACACTTTTTAACCGACTTCAAAAAAGTACGTTCTCAATTCGAGTGTATGGTTTTTTTTTGTATGTATGTTACGCGATAACTCAGGCATTTGTGAACAGATTTTGATGATTTTTTTTTTGTTGGAAGAGGGTACCTCGGTTGTAGTCCCACTTAAATTTGAAGAATATATTCCACCTCTAAGGGTGGCAAACTAGGGGATGAATCCGGTTTCGCGCACTTTCCGACAACCGATTTCAATAAAAGGTTTAATGTAATGTGCTTATCTATTAAATAAAGATTACACATTGACTTTGGTCTTTTTCTTATGATACCCGCGATATGATAAGCGACACGCCTGTCCATAACAGTTGTAATGCGCTGAGAGCTTTAAATCGCAAAGATCTGAGGGGCACTGCCACTGCGCCCGTCCCCCTACATAAGTTGACAAGTCCCATGTGCCTGTAATTTCACCAGCACCCCTGTACTTACCGGCAACTTTGTGAGTTTTTCAAAGTAAGGAAATTTGATTTCTTCTAAACTACTGAATTTCTCGTACGCTTTACTCTTACATGAGTACGTGGTACTATTTTGCTCAATCATCGTTAAGGCACCCTCTTGTTCTGAAAAA